GAGATTCAGCATGACACACAGCATGCATACCATGTCATAAGCAGATAGCAAAGCAGAGTAGTGCACAACAGAATTGAGTCGGTTGAGCTTTTTCGATATATGATTGTAAAACTTGTATTCGATATATTATTGTGATTTACAGTATATGCCATATCAAATGCCGAATATTTCTCGAACGAGACTAACAAAAATAAATAGACGCATGCAGAGTGAGAAGGAGAGGAAGGACACGGCGAAACTGAATGAATGTGTATATATAGCATTTATCGAAATGTGAATTTTTGCATATATACACGTTTCCATAAATTAGGGTTTAGTTTTTGTTATTATTGTTGTATACCATATTTGTACAGTGAAACGAGCATGAAAAGTGCGTGGTAGCTTGACGGCAAAAACATCACATTTCACACACAACACGTAAATGATTCGCGCGTGCGGTACAAATATATTTTCTTTTTAATTTATGTACGACTGATGAAAGCACATTTCGTGATTGAACGCGTTCGCCACTATGGCATGTGTTCGTGTGACTATGCGATATAAAGAGAATTTGAGTTAGAGAGCGTGAGTGAATTAATGCCACACACAACAATTGTGACCGCACACTTCAATAAACGCATTTCATCCTCATTCAATGGGGCTTTCAGTTCAAATATTACCAAAGCATTATTGTCGTTCTGAACCTATTGCTCACTTCACTTCCATCGCATACAATATAGATTAAATGCCAAATTATCGCTAAAAACAATTCTCGCAAACACTCACATACGAAAGAAAAATTGTGTACATAAAAAAACAATGCTTCTTTATAACGATAATATATCGTAATAGAGGCGTCCAGCATGAGAGAGCGAAACCATGCCATCGAAAAATAGTGTTTAAACACGAACAAATAAAAACAATTAATGAACACGAACAAATAATTTTACAATCAACCGAAAGACAATAAATATACAATTTTCTCTCTTTAAATTGTAAAATCATATGAATGTGTTATTATTAATTTATTAATAATATAAGGCTAATTTACAGACGGTTATTTTTGTTTCCATTTCTCTTTTCTCTGAAAATATATTGGCGCTAGCTAGACTTTACAGACACTACTCATTATATTTATGGAAAATGAACAGAGATATAGAACTAATATACAATACATGCAATAAAGTTGTAAATTGGTTAAGGGCAAACATATTGTGTATGCATTTTTATATAATATATGATAATATTATACCTTGTATGACACGGCACGAGCCAGCACAATATTCCGTTTACAATGTCTTCATGATCAAATCAAATTACAAAAGGAGAAACGGTAAAATATGTGTACCCGATTGCCATCAGTTAAACAAATTATGGAAATCGTAAATATTGGATTAAAAACCAATGCCACTTGTTCGATATCAAATCGGATCAAATGAAAATCGCTCCTCAAATATTATTTGAAGTTTCTCGCCAAAAAAAAATCGTACTTTTACTTTTATGACTCCACCATAACATACCTTCATAGTAACTCTATTTATTCCATTGCGCTATTCATATATTGAGTTTTGATGCGAGAGAAAAAACGAGCAACGACAACATCAACCTTCATCAAAAATAGTTTAACGTGCACATGAAATGTATGACATTATTTGATACATCAAATTTATTACGCCATCAACTCAACAAAAACTGCTTGCTTTCGATGGAAAATACATGAATCGATTCAAAACGAATGATACACGTTTCATTGTGAACGATTAGATTATCATTAACGAGGTAATTTACTGAAATGTAGGGAACAAATTTAACCCGAAATTTGAATAAATAAAGATGTCAAAACAGATTTTTTTAGCTCTGACAGTGTAAACTACATGATTGATGGTAAACATTTGAATTGTAAACAACATTTATTAGTTGTTGTTGTTTTTAACAAATAATCCAGAGGACTTTCCATATATTTATAGATTTCACAGTGGAACATACTTAACATACACCATGTGCTTACTAGCAAAATATTACAACTATACTTATTTGAATAACCATCATTTTGTTTCGATCAATTAATCAAAACATTTGTTTGCATTTATGCATTAATTAATATTAAACATTCAATATTTGGCATCAATTATAATATAGAATTTCCATTTTCAAATCTAATTTATAATATGTTTTTTTTTATCTCCGCTAATTTTCATCCGCACATTCAAACAGTTATTTGAAACAAAATCAAAGGAAATCCAATAAAAAGAATGTTTCCATCACGTTTTCCAAAAGTGCATTGGCATTTCTGTCACACTCAACTGAAAAATGAAAAATAAGAAACAGAATATAATTTTTTGTTTGATATATCCGTGTGAGAACTTCAAATACCATTCTAATTAAGTAGGTTATTGGGCGTTATCAGCTGATGGTGATGTGGTGTCATTTCTAGATATTGGTTTAATTTTACCAAAGGCGTCACATTTTCCATTTTTCCATGGTTTCGGGTAACTTAAAAAACCTGCAACGAAACCGATCCCACCAAATAGTAAGACTTTTGGCAATGCACCCAACCTTGCATTTGGCTAAACGATTGAAATAAAAATAAATAACAAATCGATATATAAACTATTCGTGTACAAAAAAAAAATATGAATTGAGCAAATAAATATAATTGACCATAGTTAACTGTATAGGTAAAAATGCCTTGAAATAATTGACTTGCCACTAAGTGGATATTCTTGATTTTTTATTAATATTTATGAATTTAACCATTTGCAGTCACTTATTTTCCACACAGAAAAAAAAACAATTTTCGAACATTTCTAAAATATGTTTACTTTTAAGAATCCTTTTTTCACACTCAAAAATGCCAATGATCCAAGGCCCAAACTAAGTGGTAAGCTGCGATAGTAAAATGCCTTAGTTTTCCATTCTTGAAACGCACGAAGATCGTCAGGTGAAAATTTAGATTTCTATAAACAAACGCAATGATAAATGAATTTCTATTTATAGCAATCACAATTACTCGACATTTGTGATCGGAACTGATCGGTTCCTGACTTTGTTGCGGTCAAAGGAAGGATGTGAAGACTTCAAGTCTCTTTGAGCCAACGGTGGCGCCCCGAATTTCAAAGGGGACGTCAATGTAATTTAACAAATCAAATCGAAACTAAACAGCGCGCCAATTTTAAAACTTGGTGTCATTTCCTCCCATTGGTTGCGGTTGATTTGAAGATGACATTGTAACGATAAAAAAAAGCGATAGAAAATTATACACAATATTTTTACAACTGAACTAATTGAAAATAAAACAATTTCGGGTATATGGTGTAAAAAGTAGAGTGCAATTAATACCGACTGATATCAATGACGACTGGTATCGAAAATAAAACAATCTGCGCTTAAATATCTTGCGCTCTGTGTATGATGCAACAACGTAATCGTATAATTTCACGAAAATATCGAAAATTTCAGTTTCGTTAACACTCATCATTTATAGCAGTTCATCTCTAACTGTAACGGAAAAATGAAAAATTCCTTGTAAGTTTTTCTTCTTGTATATTATTCTTTTGTCATCTTCCACTCAAAATTAAAGACAAAAAGTACTTTGATTTTCGAGTGTTTCGAGTGACTGATAGAAACTTGAATGGCTCTCAAAATTATGTATCTTATCAATCTCGGAAATTGACATATATCAATACGCAGCGACATTTTACTGCATTATTGCGAAATTATACGATACCATCACATACAGAGTGAAAAGTATTCATGAACAGGTTGATATGATATCGGTACCAGTCGTCATGGATCAAGCTGTACTAACTTCATAACCCGAACAATAAATTCTAATTCGAAAGTTTTGAATATATAAATAATTTGTGTAAATTTTTTTGCGAAGGAAAAATAATAGAAAATTTTCAGAAACTCGTTACAATTTCAAATTTAAATCAACCGCAACAAAGTCAGAGCCATAGATGCCAAGTAATTGGAGCAATTCTTCTTCAAAGTTATATGTCACATTTACAATTTGTTTATTTATAGAATTGTGAGTGTGAAGAACGGAGTTTGAGACCGTGTTGTTCTCGTGGATTTCCAATTGGTTCGGGTCGTTGGCATTCTTGGGTGTTAGAAAGGTAATTTAAAATTTTTAATTTATGTTTCGATGCCTACGTTGTAACGGCATTAAAGTCTTTGTATTTGGTTTAATCGGTTACACTGTAATAAGCAAATTGGGACAGAAGAAGATTTCTGGAGATGAAAAGTACTGCACTATGTGTGGGAAACTAATTAAACCCATTGATGATGCCGCATCTTCTTCAGGCGATGAAAAACGCACTACATCTATAAATACAGCATCGACATCAACTGAAAATAAACCTTCACAAAGCAAAGAATAGCAATTGCTCTAAGCTCAAGCAGACGCTGTGCAAGTTTTTAAGTGATTTATAAAGAAAATACTAGAACAACATTTTACTCTTTATTTCATCGATTATTATTATTTTTCAACATTTTATCTAAATAAAAATTGGTCAATTGTATGAGCAATTTTCCACTCATTTATAAAAGCACCAAAAAGTGTTTTATCAACTAAACGACAGTTCAAAGTGTACGGCTGCATTGAAAATCATTCATTTCAAAATAAACATGATGGATTTCAAGAGAGAAAACATCATCATCTGGATTACATCTTCAAAATATCGTATATAGAATGCACAATTAAAATGTTTCTCACCAGATGGCATTTTACAATAAAAAATAATAGAACACATTTCTAGGCAAATTTACATGAAGTTCAAGTAATTGAAAACAAAAATCTTCAACTAGTACCGATAGTTGCCCAAAGTCTTGCTGAATTTTCAAAAGGAGTCAACCAAATTAAATTTGAAATTTTTCTGTAAATCATTCACAGATTTGTATAAGTTTCATTTCACGCAACTGTCACTTTTCGAGACGATATTGTGTTTTTAAATATAAACATACATGTAACTATACTACTGAGATCTGTCAAATCATCCGGCAGTAATATATTGATGAAATCAGTATATTCTGACATTTATACAATAGGCGATAACCTAACATTTTATGGTATCCAGTTTTAAATGTGTTGAAGACATAAACACACAAGTTTTGTTTGATTTTCATTGAAACAAGAATTAAATTGTTGAAACAATGTCTGATCGAAATGCATATCAACCGAATGTCAACCAACAATACGATCAATATGCTCAGCATGACCAACCGCAACAGCCCGTTGATCCACGTCGTGAATTTTTGGTATAAATAAAAATCACAAATCTCAATTTCATCAATGACGTAATTTATATTGTCAATTATAATATTTTTGATGCTTTTATTAATAGAACTACGAATATTCACCAGAAGAACTTCGTGCGATCCGAGAATGTGGATCAGAGGCATTTTACTATCGTTCTTTGCCATTCAGTCTTGGCATTGGCACAACTGTATACATGGCTGTTAAAAATGGATACTTGAAGGTATATACAATTAAATTGCCTAACTTTTTTTTGCTATGGTAATCATTCGTATTCGGTTTTTATTTGTACGTGAATAGCCACATCGAACTTTGGGTCCATGGCCAAAAGTGTTAGCACTTGGATTTGTTGGTTACATTGCTGGCCGTGTTAGTTACTTAGGTGCATGTAAAGAGAAACTGATGGCATTGCCAAATTCAAAGTTAGCTGAAATGTTACGCCGAAATGCTGGAAGTGGTGGTGGTAAAAATTGGGAAGGTGGCGTTATGCGTGACGCTGCAGCTGCAACAGCACTTTCTCTAGCACCATTTAAATCGGTTCCGGCATCCGGCTACTCAGACGATTACTATCAAGTGATTTTCTCATCAATAGACTTTAATTTTGATTCGTTTTAATTTATATTGCATATTTTAGTCGAGTTCATTAAATTTGGATACAAGCCGTCCGAACTATAGTGGTTTAGATGATGCTTTTCAGCCAACAATGGAAGGAAAGAATGACTTAAATGAAGAATTAAAAATTCCAACACGAAAAAATACAGTTACTTATGATGAATTGAGACAAAAGAACCGAGATGAATTCGCTCGAACACAAAATCAACCACAACCTCCACCAAAAGCATATTACAAGTAAGTATTCAGTGTCATTTTTTCATTTAAAGTGGTATATGTAAAAAAAAATTACACAGTCAAGGCACACCAGTCGCTGCTCCACCGCATGGACCAATGAATCCACCAGCCGGAGCATATAGCCAAGCATTAGATAGTGATCGACGACGAATGTCTCGAGCCAGAAGTGAAGATGATACCGGAAATGAAAAAACCGGTCCAAAGAATAAATATGGTGATTGGAATAGGCAATTTGTCGTTTTAAACTGTGCTTTAATTATAATTGGAATTTCTTTTACATTTCAGGTGATACTTGGTCAGAATAGAATTCATAGCACCATTTTATCGTATTAATCTTTAGCAGACTGCTTGTAGATTTACAAATGATTTATTATTATTATTTAGTGGAAAAAAAAAATCATTTTATTGTTTACTTTTTAAATGGTTAACAATTAGAAAAGTGCAAAACAAAAAATCAAAATTTCTTCTTATTTTTTTCATTTTTAGTTTTTTTTTTCTCTATTTATGTTGATCCGTTGAGTTATTTGGGATTACTTGCAACTTGGAAGCCTGCGTCTTAGCAACTCCCAAATTCATATAGTTGTTCCATTCGTTAAGAGGAGACGGCAAATAAACGTGAATGGTGGCTCAATCATTTATTATCGATGGAATTTCATAAGGCCGCCTGAAAGAAAATATTAAATAAAAATAAAAATAAAAGCATAATAAATAATTACGAGCAAAAGAAATTTCGTACTAAATGAAATTGGCACAAAAAAGAAATGCATACGAAAGAAAACAAAAAAATAACATGTTGAACTGATAGAAGAAAAGATTTGATTTCAGCATAAATTTCACCATAATTTTTATTCAATTAAATGATGTTTCACAAACCGTTTGAAACAATGTGTTGTGTTCTTTTTTTTTTTTTACGTTAAGTTTTTCAGTTCTTTGGAATTCTTTTCTTTAATGGCTTTCGATTGAACAATTTTTTTCTCGTTGACTAGGTGTTTGTCGTGTCTCTTGTGTTTGTTATCTTTCAATTGTGTTCTTTATTTAATTCTAACAAAATCACATATCAATATTGATATCAAGATGTGTTGCCATTTAGAATTTAAACCAAGACTTACCACCGCTCGATGGTTTCATAATTTTACATTTGTTCTTTTTGATGCGGGGATCGCCTGTGGTTGATGCCGTTGTTGTTGATGACGTCGATTCTTTGTAATCCATCGCATAGTCTTCATCAATATCGGTTAAATGTGTTTTCAATGTTTTCTTCAAATTGGCAATCTAAAATTGAAGAATATATTGACATTAACAAAATGATAATGAATGAATTTAAAAAAAAATGATGTAATCAAAACACAAACCTCTGCATCCAAGTCTTCGTTGTGTTTGGTGCGTGTGGCTTTGGCAGTGTTGGCGCGATCAATTTGATTTTCAATTGTTTGAAGAACAGATTCACATGAATCGCACCATTCTTGCAGTGTAGCTGAAATTTGTTTAACATCTTCCGCTCGAATATCACGACCAATTGCATAATCAACCTCTAACTGTTTGTTTTTTTGATCCAATTTTCCATGAATAATATCTGTTCAATATTCCAATAAAAATGCTCAAGTAATCAAAACAAAAAAGAATCATGTGTGTGACGATAGAAAATAAAATACAAACCAGCATAAATCGATTCAATGATCAAATCTTCAAGTTCACGAACGCAACCAATGTCCAATTGTTCGAGCAAATCACTATATGCAATACATTTATTACTAATAGCCATTGTGACAATTGTGAGATGTTTTAGTTTCTTTTTCATTCCATCAGTCAGTTCGATGAGTGAACTTTTATTTTCCAAGTACTCTTTGTATGTACCGTAGGCGAACAAATTCAATGTGTTCAAATAGTTGGCGTGTGGTGTGTTTTCCAGCTGAAAACAAAAATATATCCATATAAATTCAAGCTAATGAAAAAAATAATAGATTAAAAATTGTTCACAAACCTCGCGTATATTTGGTTGTGCCAATAGTTCCGAGAATACAAAGACGCCGGGAGCTTCAAGTACGGTTTTGATTAAATCTCGGCACGCAGCACCTTTTGTTCCTTTTGACAACAGTACAAACTGTTCCAATGGATTGTGTGCAACGGGTTTCTTGGTATCGCTTTCATCGATCAACATAGCTCCCGCGTGCAATGCCATTGTTCGTAATATTTAAATCCAATTCAATCACCACAATCGATCAAAAGAAAGCCAATTTGGTTCAACTAAATAACGTAAATAATCAGTCGATCACAAAACGATTTTAGTTGAAATGAAAATGCCAACAAATCGTTCAAAACAATCGGTCCACACAAATTATAAAAATGAGAATACGGTTCAGATGTATAAAAGCGGAATGAATGTTGTGTGACTAACGAAATGTCAAACTTTAACTTGCATTTTTCGCTGATATACACAATATTATTTTTCATTCTTCTGTCGCGTGCGTGTGTATGTATTACGAGTGACAGTTGGCAGCAATGTCTCAACAATTTGACAACTGAACCGATCCAATTCGAATGTCATTTTGTAAAAAAAAATCCACTTTGTTTTCATATCCTTACATAATTGTTGATGAATTCGCTGCTCGGTTGGCATGTATTCAAATTGAATTTCGTCTATTTACCATCGAATTGCGTCAACATTGTCAACAGTTCGTTCGAATTGAAAAGTTCACTTTTTTTTTACTAAATAAGTAATAGAAAAAAAAATTCAATGGATTATCAAGACGAAAAAATTGTGGCAGGAAATTTAGGCAAAAAATTCACTGTACGAAATATTTATCCTTGGGCACTTCAATGCTGCTTCAATTGAGTTTCATTAAATGTTTTAAATTATATTGTATTTTGTAGATGGATCGACGAAAAGAGTTAGAGCTATTCGACGATTGCCTTGGAGAAGCGTTAACACAAAAAGCCGTACCTGTTACAATTGCATTAAGTGCAGCCACTTACATGGCCATTAAAGAGGGATTTTTGAAAGTAAGCGATTGAATCGGTTTGACAATCTAATATTCTAATTGAATTATTTTCATTTTTTAGAACAATGGATTGTTTGGAATGATGCGAAAGAATTTGTTATGCATGGTCATTGGTGTTGGTGTTAGTTTAATTGGGATCCGTGAAAATTATCATGATAAATTGGCAATATGGTATACTTCGCATCACCATCAACAAGTAAGAAATATGATATTAAGCAACTGGAAGGAGGAAAACAAAAGAAAAAAAAATACTGTGAAATTATTTGATAAAGTAAGTTGTATGCAGAGTTAAGCTATCACGAAATTTTATTTCAAACTTATTTACTCGTGTTTTTTTGTTATTTTCATAGCCAAACCATTTAAATTTAGATTTAGAACGACCTCATTTCGATGGCATCGATTCGCCAAAAAAAGATGACAATCGTGCTGTTCACATTGAAAACATCACATACGAAGAATTGCAGCGCAGAAATCGTGAAAAATACGCTGTAAAACACAACGGTTATTATTAAAAGATTTTGATATATTTTGTGGTATATATTTATATTTTATTGTTGTAAAAAAAACTAAATATATTAATTTAATTTAAAAACTGGTGTTAATTTTATTCAAGAACAACAATGACCAGCATCATTTTTGATTTCACAATAAAGTTGAAATATTGCAGCATTCACTTTCTAAACATGAAATTATTTCCAATAGATGGCGCTAGATATCTTTATTGTAATGAAGACTAAATTCAGTTTTAAATTCGCCTGATTTAAATTCCATTACACGATAATCGGGTCTCGATTACACTGATATCTTTTGATTTCTCATTTTTGTGGACCGGAGATGGCAATTCATCGTTTAATTATCTAAACTGACAAAATATAAAATCAGACCAGTAAGATAAAGAAAGGTATTTTCGAATTTTTCACATTTTTTTTTGCACAAAAAATATTGTTGTGAAATTAAATTTTTACAACTTGAAAAATTTAAATGTAAATGAGATGATAATAATATTATCTTAAAACTGCAAAAGAAACAAAACAGACTACTTTTTACCATTATCCAATGGATAATATCCATTATGTACTGCATGACTAACCATAACTGGTTCAAAACGAAATTTTAATTAGATTCAAAAATACGAATTGTGATCAGAGTTCAAATGCATGTCAATCCATAAATTAAAAAAGTGACGATGGTGAAAATGCACTTTGAGTTTTCAATCAATTCAATGTTGAATAATCTCATTCTCAAAATGCAATTTTGTAACGACATCAATTTGTAGAATTTGCATTTCTTCTTTGTACTATAAATATTGACAGTTGATAAGATTTTAATACGAAAAATTACGATATGCCTTCCAAACATCTTTGGTCAACAATTGAAAATGTTTATGAAACGTGTTCACAATAAAAACGGAGAATAATAACAAAAATTAATTAATTCTTATTATCATAAAAAAACAAAAAAAATCCATGTAGAAGATATTCAATGTGCATGTGGCGGATTAAGACTGCGTCGTGAGCCCATTTTCATAAATTTTTGCTTTTATTTTTAAAATGAACCGGCTAGAATATTCGTGACCTCAAGAAATTTGTCAAAATAAAACTGCAACTTGCCCATACATTTTTTATATGAAAATGTTGATCTTTTGCTTTAACAAATTTGCTCACGAATATTCTAACCGATTCAAATGAACTTGATCAAAAATTATCTCCAAAACACTATGAGGGTTGATGATCATTTAGGGAGTTTGTCGATTCTTTCTGTTGAAATTAAATTTTCGGACGAATTGAATTTATCAATTTCGATTGAATTGTTTTCATTGACATGATTTTTCTATAATTAAATATGAAGTACCTCAATGAAAGTATCCTGAAATATGGGAGCGCCTTACAACAGTTTTATTTTCTATGATAATCCCTCATTGACGCATAAGATCACACTTATGGGTTAACAGCGATTATTCTAATATGATATTTTCATAAAGTAAAAATTTAATTGTTTAATTTAGTGTATCAGTAATGTGCCAAGCCCAAAACAATCCCTGAGTTGACAAAAATAAAACACATTGATAAATGATTGATGTACATGGAATGGCGGCTTTAAATGGAAAGAAAAAAGTTGTAAATCATTTCGTAATAACACTACGTTAATTATGGCTTTATTGTTTGTCAGAGGAATCAATAAAACATTTCTATGTTCTTTATTCGTATTTCATGAAGTTATCATGATCTTGAAATTATCATCTTTATAATCGGTATATGATGACGATAAAAGACTCATTTCACAATATAAATGAAACTTAATTCCATTTACTCTGTACAACAAACTCAAAGTTAGTGTACAAAAGATACAGGTAGAATAGAGTCGTATTTATTGCAATTAAGTTTTGTCGTTTAGTTGTGATATTTCGTTGTTGTGGCTGTTATTGGTATTGTTTATGTGATGACTGCCGTTACGATTCAATGAGTGCACACAAATTAATAGAAAATGCATATCGCCAAAATTAAACATACGAATTGAGTAGAAAACTGGTATTGTTTGGGTTTTTTGATTTGTTTACATGATTATTGTTGATATGTGAAAGAGAAAGCAAATGAGCGTATGTAAGAGAGTGTATGAGAAAAAGAGTGAAAGAGAGAGAGAGAGCGTGCTGGATGTTTTTGTTGTGTGCTTTCATTCAGAAAAATTACTCAAAAAATCCGCAAAATGACTCACTAAATTCGAAATGCTTGGCTACATTTTTGTGATCGTGTGTGCGATCATTGAGAAATCATAATTGACCAGGTAAAGCAACACTGAAATCGAATCACATACAAACAATAACAGAACAGCAGTAGCAAAAAAGCAGCCAATCAATATGCACCCAAAGGTGATCACAGAAGCAAGTGTGTGTTTAACTCAATATAGTTGATCTCTACTGCATAATTCATCGATAACGTCACATCAACAAGTGGATTATTCTCTTTCTTCGTATTCGCTTTTTTTATAAACATTTTATCGAATGCTGCTTTTCCTTTTATTCACCGGTATCACTCCATAAATTGAAGAAATATATATATACGTAAAAAAAGAGTGTGTGTAGCACGCCAGCACCGCCGTATATTATTCGTGTGCGTTAATTCGGTCTCTACACAGTTTGTTTATTTCATTTGCTTCGTTGCACTTTTTCATATTTGCACAAAATCGACTTTTATTCCATGATTAAGTTAGTCCATTTTAACGACTCGGACCGATTCAACTGGAATGGAAGTCTTTAATGACTGTAATAAAAGACTTCTTTATCAATTGCCCTAAGTCATACTATCAGTTATCCGGAATTTATTTAGAATTCAGGTATTATTGGTTTAAAATTTTCGAAGATATAAACTGATATAATATAAATAAACGATAACAACTTTTTTTTTTCGCCAGTCAATTTTAATGTGTTCACGAATTTAGTTATGTGCTGAATAAAAGAGAAGTGAAGTTTTTATTTGTGTATAAAAAAAGGACAATATTTTAACGAATAGCAACGGTTTTATGGAAAATCCCCAAAAAACAAATAAAAACAAAGTGAATTTGAACGAAGGTGCGTGAGTGATTTTATGAAAAGAAGTGCATCTCGTTTAGCATTTAGTGTAATTAAAGTATTTAAAATGAATATGAAACCAAAGCATCAGACGGCAACGCCGACGAAAATTTCCTTTTCGGAAATCTATACAATCCAAAGAGACGACAACCAGTTGGTGAGTATTATAAAACAAACACCCACCTGATTACACATTTTTCAAGCCTATGTTATAATATTTCCGATTAAGTTCACTCAAATGCAATCGATTCATCGATGATGCACCTTGCTCAATTGCACTGCTGTAGACGCAAAAAAAGTAAATGTCAAATCTATTTGATACACTATCATTTTTACTATCAAACTGATTGAAGCGCAATTTGCGATTCAGATCAGATGTAGCTCTGTATAACCGCTCTTCTTGTCATTCTCGCATGCTAATTGCTTACTGAATCAACGACACATTTGTTCCAGGTGATCGAATGCTTTGTTCAATTCAACTCGGTTTCAAAGTGAAAAAAAAAATAACATAAACAAATAAACTGTCAGCTATAAAATGAAATTTACCTTGAATTCATTACTTTTATTTAGTTGTTTTGGAGTCTTGAATCCAAATGGTTCGCAGAAGCATTGGACATATGTTTCTATTTTTACAGCACTATTACTGACAAATCTATTGCATATCTGACCCATTTCTTTATCTGGAAATTAGTCATAAGCTAGGCGCCCGCAATTACCTGTATTAGTCATCATCGAAATCTATCAACAGCAATTTTTTCCGCAGAATACAGGAACCATATATCCGTAAACAGAAGATAATGAATCACGTTTTTTTCATTCGATTAAATACATTTCTTTTGAATTAAAATATTATACAATATTAAAAGCAATGAAATTATCAAATCGATAAGATAAAAAAAATGTAGTGATCATTCATAAAAGAATTTGCGACCTTTTTGTTTGTCATTTTATATATAACGCCTGAAATTAGGCACCGCGAACAATGCTTTTGATTTTTGAAACGAAGGAGAAGAATGATACTACAAGTATGCGAATTGTGAAGGGGAAATGACTTGATAGTGTTTATTAATGATATTTGTTTCGATCCATCATCAAATATTATTTGCTTTTGTATTGCGAGTAAAAGGCCTGTAAATTCCAGAAAACCTTATTAGCAGTGGCATTTTATTGGCATTAAACATTTTATGATCGCAAATGCATTAAGGAATTGATTATTATAGTTTATAATTTGGTAATAAAGAGAGAAATTACCGCATTACAGCTGTAAATATCCACATGAAATGTAAAGTGAAGAAAAATCACCTTAAATTTCCATATAAAATTCTAATCGAATATGAACATTAAACATATTTTGTATTCGTTCAAATCGTCACGAATGGACCTAGAACTTTACTTATGAGATCGCACGCTGAGATGCGGACCGTCATGCGTCATGCATCAGATCAGCTATTTACGCCATAACCAAAGGTTCTTTCTTCAATTTGTTTCCTTTTAAATTTGATTCCAAATTGTAGCAAATGCACTTTCATAAATCATATGAACAGTGTAACATTTTCAAATCGAATTTATGTTTCCCGAGTGAGAATCTATCGAACATTTCTAGGTTACAAACGAAACAAAAAAAAAACGTTCAAAGAGAGAAGAAGAAAAAATGGTTCTGTGCATATGTGTTTCTACTGAAGTTATAAAAAAATGCAACCCGATAAGATAGATCACATGCTTAGTTCTTGTTTTTATGTTTAGAGGCTATCTGTTGGCAAGATGTTATGTCATGTTCTCAGTTCTATGGGAACACAAAAAGGTGTCAAAATTTTACGATCTTTTATAACTTCAATAATTGCCTCGTTGAAGAAACTATTTTACGAAAAAAAAAAAAAAATTCACAAAAACGACGAAGAATGAATGATTCATGCAAACAGGTTCATTCATACCGAAAATCGATTTACTACCTACAACATTCATTTAAAACAAACAAACTGATTATGAACATTTCAA